CCTGTCCGGGAGGGATTCCTCACTGTGTGCACCTGTCCGGGAGGGAGGGAGCCCTCACTGTGTGCACCTGTCCAGGAGGGAGGAGGCCCTCACTGCGTGCACCTGTCCAGGAGGAGGTCCTTACTGCGTGCACCTGTCCAGGAGGAGGTCCTCACTGTGTGCACCTGTCCAGGAGGAGGTCCTCACTGTGTGCACCTGTCCGGGAGGGAGGAGGCCCTCACTGTGTGCACCTGTCCTGGAGGAGGCCCTCACTGTGTGCACCTGTCCAGGAGGAGGCCCTCACTGTGTGCACCTGTCCAGGAGGAGGCCCTCACTGTGCACCTGTCTGGGAGGGAGGAGGCCCCACTGCGTGCACCTGTCCAGGAGGAGGCCCTCACTGTGCACCTGTCTGGGAGGGAGGAGGCCCCACTGCGTGCACCTGTCCAGGAGGAGGTCCTCACTGTGTGCACCTGTCCGGGATGGAGGAGGCCCTCACTGTGTGCACCTGTCCAGGAGGAGGCCCTCACTGCGTGCACCTGTCCAGGAGGAGGCCCTCACTGTGTGCACTGTCCGGGGCCTGGGCCGAGCTCCGGTCACTTGCTCAGCAAGGTCATCTGCCCGGCGGAGCACGCAGCATGCACAGCGGCTGTACCTGAGCGCCGTGAGCTCCACCTTCTCCTGGTCGTTGGTGACGAGCTCTGGGATGAGGCTCAGGTGCGCGATCTGCGTGGCCGCCCAGCCGAACTGGAAGATGACGATGAAGGGCCCGTAGTACAGCAGGGCGGCCCACTCGGGGGTGCCGGGCCCGCAGCCCAAACACGGGCTGAAGATGAAGGGGAAGGTGAGCAGGACGCACACGGTGCCTGCAGGGAGAGGGAGACGTTACGGGGCCCTGCGTGCGGGAGCCCACACGCCCCAGTACTGCTGGGGGGGCCAGTCCGGCTCTCGGGACCCTCCACTCCACTGGGTGTCAGGCTGTAAATTCCTTAATGAAATCATATTGGTTTTTCATACAATCATTCATAGACGTTTTGTTTCCTAACATGGTCACTGATTACCATCATTAATTATACTGTTTAACCCTTAGTTGATAACTGCCTTGTCCTTCACCCATCATATTCCCACCTTTGTAACTCCTTTACATCCATGTCATTCCCGAAGGTGTTAATCTCAATGGGAAACAGTCCATCTTTCCCCGGTGGATTTGAACTACAGACTTTTCAGTTAACAAGTTGACACCTTGGGCACTATGCCAGCAGGGCTTCTGAGTAAGGGCTAAGACACCCCCTAAAGTCACCAAGTGGGGCGCCATCAGCCTCCCAGGGGATGCAGTGTCCATGACAAACAGGAAACTGAGGCAAAGTGATTTTTTTCAACTCCTCCCGAAATCACGCAGCCCAACAGGGCAGAGGTGAGGCTTCCACCCAGCACAGCAGCCTGGGGTTTCCTGGGCACACACAGCTGCTGTGAGGAGCCCTGGTGGGGCGACGGTTAAACGCTCAGGTGTTAACCAGAAGGCTGGAGGCTTGACACCCACAGTGGCCCTCCAGGGGGGACCAGCAATCTGAGCAGCATCGGCCCTTCCTGGAGCCCCATCCAGCCCCTCCGGGAGCCCCTTTCCACCCTAGGAAGGCGGGTCTGAGACGACAGGAATCACTCCTGAAGCGGTCATCCACAACCAACACCAAAGGGCAGCGCAGGAGGCAGGAGGGGCCGGGCCCCTGGGGTGGAGAAGAGGCGGATGCAGCCACCTTGTGGGGACAGCAGTCAGCGTCACGGGACAGCCTGAGTCACTGAATGTGAAACCCTCATGTTATGTACACTTAACCCCAAACCAACAGCTTAGCCCACTGTCCACAAATTGATCCCCACAGGCAACCCTGCAGGACGGGGCGACGACGCTGCCCCCGGGATTTCCAAGCCTCAAGGCCTCATGGGAGAAGCCGTCTCGTCTTTCTTCTGCAGAGAAGCTGGTGGGTTTGAACCGCGGACCTTTCACTTTGCAGCCCAGTGGTTAACCCACCATGTCACCAGGGCTTCTTGTGACTTTCTCCTAAACCACAATCAAGCATGAGGAGAGAGAGAGAAAGTGAGTGAGAGGGGTGTCACATGGGGTCCTGGGAGCCAGACGGCACTGACAGCCCCCACCCCGACAGTGCACAGTGCCAGCTGGGGAAACTGAGGCATCGAATGGGAAAGGGGTGGCCTCTGCATTCACAGGGCACACAGGCATAGCCAGGACGGAAGACCAGAGACACAACCGGTGGGCCAAGAACAGGGACTCTCTGGACCGGCCCCTAAGCTCTTGGAGGTTGTTCCCTTGGTGACAGGTGGGGAAACTGAGGCACGACAGGCTGGCAAGCCTCTGGGGTGGCCTGAGTTTGGCCCTCAGTGGAGGTACCACGTGAGCCCACAGCTCCAACTCTTGCTACCCCACAGGAGGGGGGCTCTGTTCTCCCCAGGCCCACCCATCCTGGGACTGAGGGGGGCCCTAGGAGGTAGGGATCTGGGGGAGTGACCTGGAACAGCCAGGTCAGAAGGGGACCTCGCCCTCGGTCACTGTCCTGGTCCCTGGGAACTGCTGTGTCACACCCCTCTCCCTGAGCTCAGAAACCCAGAACAAATGTGCCGCTGGGCTCTGCCTGGTCCCACTCCCACACCCAGCCTCCCCTGCCCCTCTCCCACTGGCCTCACTCCCTCGCTCTGGCCACACAGACCTCCTCACTGTTCCTCCAACTCCCAGGAACGGTCCTGCCCCAGACCTTTCCCTGCCTTGTTACCCAAAACTTAGCAAGGCAGCTCTCAGCATAAATGTCACCTCCTCAAAGAAGCCCTCCCTGCTGTTCCAGGTCCCTCAGCCACCGCCAGCAGTGCCCCTCCCTGGAGCCCAGGCAGAACAGCAGTAAAAAGGCCCTGGAGGCCTCATGGAGCTCGAGCCTAGAACTAGATGGGTGCCTGGCCACCTCCACTGACCACCTGAAAGGGACCACAGTAGGTGGTCTGGAGAGAAGGGGTAAAAATGTGAACCAAAACTCCAATCGTAAAGTAAACCCCAGGCTTGTTGGTGTCATGGAGATGGTGAACCCCCAAGATTACAGCCCCTAGTCCCTCTTCAAGCTTGGGACACAACTTAGCCCACAGCTCAACCATCAGCCAAACCACAGACAGGCCAACAAGGTGGTCAGTCACGCCCAGGAATAATGCCCTCCTTAGACCAGTGTACGGCACAGGCAGGAATGGATGGGTGGAAATGGGAAACACAGGGAGGGGAAGGGCAGAGTGCTGCTGCTTCCCGGGGACCGAAGTCAAGGACTCGAAGCAAACAAACTGCAAACCAGCCACAGGCTAGAAAGCTGAGCTGCTCTGCAAACCTTCACCCCAATCACGAGAGACAGTCCTGGGGGAACTCAGGCGGCGCCCACTCTCGTTGCTCAGGGGAAGGTTCTGGGGACCCCACAGGAAGCACTGCCTAGCTGGGACCCCCTTCCGGTGTGGCCTAGCCCTGGGCATACACAGGAATTCTGTTTGTCAGCTTCCTGCCTTGGGGGGTGGGGCGGGGAGCAAGGCTCTGCCTGTCACTGCAGGGTCCCTGGCACCCAGCACAGAGCCAGGGCCACGGACACCTCATGAGCGAGTGGTCAGCAGTAACGGTCACTTCCATTATCAGCCCTGAGGGCCAGTGTCGTTACCTCCATTTTCCAGAAAACGGAGGCAGCCCAGGGAGCTGAGAAGCCATCTCGGGGGAGTGGGGGCCCTGCGCCCTCCCCAGCCCAGTCCAAAGCACCAGGAGGGGGTCCCCTACCCAGCCTGAGAGCTGGACTTCCTCAGGCCCCCGCCAGCCCTGGAGGCGACCTCATCACGGCGTGCTGGCTCAGGTCTGGACTTGGGAAGTGAAACTAAAAGTTTCCTGGTTTCCTGGCTTCTCTGGAACTGGGGGCCAGGAGGGGCCCTGGGCAGAATTCCCGGAGGCCAGCACACTCCCCAGGCTGGAGCCGTGGACTCTGCCCAGGGCCTGCAGCCAGCCTCACCTGCTGCCCATCAGGCTGGGTTAACCCCTGGTGGGGCCAGGCCATCTGGCTGGGCCACCATGGGCGGGTGGTTCTGCCTCTTTGAGCCTCAGGTCTCAGAAATCAGGAAGAGAGAATGGCCCGGCTGACCAGGCTGGCAAGGGACAGAGAGGTCATGTGTGGCCAGCTAGAGCCTGGTGGAACCCTCGAGACTGCAGACTGTCACACTCAGGGCTTGAACTAGATCCTTCATGGCACAGTGTTCAACCAGATGGACAGGTGACCACCACTACCAGGCAGGCCTCACACCTCAGAACAATCAACTGTGAGGTCAAACGGATGGCGTCTGTCTGGAGGGACAGCCCAGAATGCAGGAAGAGCTAGGAAGACGAAGGGAAATGGGAAACACAGCAAGGGAATGGGGAGAGTGCCATTACATTGTAAGGATTACAGCCAATGTCACAAATCAAATGCATCAATTGTACATAAACCAAATTTGCTCCATAAACTTGTCCTAAATGACAAGTTATTTTTTTTAAAAAAAAGAAAGGTTTATGCATGAAAGTTGGAAAGTTTGTGTCACTCCCAGCCTCGGCCTGTGATCTTTCATGCTTTCCTACAAGCTCTTTCACTACCTGGAATGCATTTCTTCCCATCAAAACACAAGCACATACTCCTCTTCATCCTTCAAAACCCCAGTGCTAATGCCCCCTTCTTCAGGAAGACTTCACTTCCAAAGCTCCACTTTTTCCTTCTGAAGCTGTCTCACTACTGGACCCCACAGGAGCGTCTGGGGACCAGGCCCTCTCTGGTTCTTGTGTCACCCCAACCACCCACTGACTGGGGGTGAAATAGAGAAGTGGGCAGTACTGTCACAGGCCTCTCCTTCACATCCTTTTATCAGGTGCTCTGGCTTCCTCTTTCCACAGACCCTCGGGGCTCCCCACTCCCCTTCCCGGGTGGGCTGGTGGCCTGGATAGACACCAGGGTGCTAGCTAGATGTCCAGGCCAGCTTTTGAATACACACACACACACACACATACACCTTTGACTCCTTATGAACAAATATGCTTTTTTGGGCTGGTGGCATAGTGGGTTAAACTTCAGGCGGCTAAATGAAAGCTGGGCAGTTCGAATCCACCAGAGAGAGGTGCCACAGGTTGGAGAAAGAAAGGGCAGCCTGCCTAGAAAGCCAGAAACCTTGGAAACTCGAGGCAGTTCGGTTCTGTCTGACAGGGTGGCTGTGAATCAGAACTGAGTGCCCAGCAGTGGTGGCCTTCAGCCTCAGACCCTCATGGGTCGTCCCTGAGCCTCAGGCTGGCTTCCCACCTGGGAAAGGGACACTTAGGTCCCCTCAGGGCTCCTTGTCAGTGGGTTTCCCCAACTGCTCTCAACACAGTTAGTATGAAGCTGCATGACAGCCGACAAGGAGGAGGGGGTCAGGGGAGTGGAAGGAGGGGGAGGAGAAGGAGGGGAAGAAGGAGGTAAAGGAGGTGAAGGAGGGGAAGGGTTCAGGAGGGGGAGGGAAAGAGGAGGGGAGAGGAGGAGGAGGTGAAGAAGGATTGGCATGGTTTTGAGATGAGGCAGTGAACTATCTAATGTCCCCGCCCAGCCTCCTCCAGTCTTCCCAGGCCACAGGGCACAGACCAGATGACTCCCCCGGCAATGGCCTCTCAGACTGGGGCCTAGCAGGCTGCTCCCTTGGGCTGGAGCCCCACTCTGTCCTGTAGAACATGCTCACAAGGCTTGGGGGTCAGAGGGCTTTGCTGGGTCCTTGTCCCCAAGGACAAGAAGGCAGCCTGGAATTCCGGGGGTGGCCAGGCTTCTTGGCTCTGTTTCCAGGAGCAGGGAAGAAAGGCTAGAGAGAGGGTTATCTCAAGGTCCAGGGCCCTGGGTGGGGAGAAGGGCCAGCAGGGTTCAGGGAGGCGGGCCTTGGGCCTCATCTGAGATCACGGAGGACAGGACACCCAGCCCTGGGGACTGGCCTCCCACCCTTCCCAGCAGTCCTCTAGTTCAGCCACTCTCTCAGTGATTCCAGACCCAGGCAGATGGGCAGTGAGAGAAGGTCACAGATATCTGACCCTCCCAATCTCAGCACTGCCAGGGGACACCCCAAAATCATGTTTCCCTAGATAGGATACCAAATGAATGTCCGAGGGGAGCAGGCAACTCACCCAAAAGGGGTCACTGTGACCTCAGGGCTCGGGCAGATAACTGGGGGGAGGGCTGGAGCCAGGGGCTGACAGAGGGGGGACTGGGGTCGTGAGAAGACAGAATCAGAGGCTGGGGTCACAAGCTGACGGAGGAGCCTGGGACCGTGGATTACAGGCAGAGGAGGAAGGCTTGCGTCATGGGCTGACAAGAGCAAGGAGACTGGAGATAGGAGCAGACAGACAGGAGAGAGGCTGGAGCCATAGGCTACAGGCAGAGGAATGAGGCCGGGGCCATGAACATGTACCAGGAGGAGGAGTCTGGGGTCATGGGCAGACAGGAGGAGGAGGCTGGGGCCATGAGCAGACAGAGACAGAGGGGGGAGGCTGGGGTCATGAGCAGACAGACAGGAGGAGGCTGGGGCCATGGGCAGACAGACAGGAGGAGGCTGGGGCCATGAGCAGTGAAACAGAGGGGAGAGGCTGGGGCCCTGAGCAGACAGACAGAAGGAGGAGGCTGGGACCATGAGCAGACAGACGGAGGAGGCTGGGGCCATGGGCAGACAGA